TTTCGGGGTTGTACGGTCCCTCCTAGGTTGCCGCTTGAGATAAAGTCCTTATGGAGAGGCACTAGAGTACTCAACCCGTACTCCCCCTTTCTATCTGTGCTAAAAAGTTCCATTTTATCACATTGCATATAGTCTTTAAATATGTTTAACAATTACTTCATGTTAAGCGCTGCAGCATCTATCCAAAATGCCTACCCAATAGACCCAGGTATCAAGAATATGTGGTACAAGGAATCATCTAGGTAAAGTCCTTAAAGGCAATTCAAATTAAACACATGCATGAATGTAAGTGGTAGTAGTTCATAGGTAACAAGGGGCCTTTGGTACACTTGCCTTCCTCAAAGTCGTCCTGGGAGTACTGCTGATCCTGCTGGGGGTCCTCAGTCACCTCGAATGGCTCACCCTCTAATCGTGATCCAATCATCAATCAAGCATCATTCCAATTATTACATGCATACAAAATAGAACTCCATTAGAACAGTACACCAAACAGTGAAAACATATGTTGAAAAGCTTACAGATCTATTCTACGCATTGCTACGAACACATGAGCGAAAGAATCACTCAAATCGGACTTAAAACGTGAAAGTTATGCATGAAATAAGATGTAATGGCAATTCTATAAATAAACCAACCTATTTTCGAATTAAAATAATTAAAAATCTGAATTTAAATGAATTCTGGACCGGGCATACTATTTCTGGAAACTTCAGGGACTTGAACGAATAAAAACAGGACTAAATAAAAATTAATTTGAACTGGATCGACCGCGGTTGATTATTTGGAAAAAGCGGGGCTTTTTCTCAAAAAACGCGCTTTCGGTTGATCGGGTTTGACCCGACGATGACCGGGCCGCCGACTCGTCGACACGCGGCGGCGGTCACTTCATCGGGCGCTGTGCACCACGCACGTGGGCACACCGACGACGCAAGACGGCAGTCTACCGGGTCCACGAGTCTCACGTGGACCGCCACTTAAATCCAACCGGTACCTAACCACGCCATCCACGCTAGATCCAACGGCCAGGTGAAAACCAAACCGGTGGTGGCTCACCGGGGAAGAAGGAGAGGCCAGCGGCGCCATGGCGGTCTTGACCGACCTTGGGCTATGGCTTCCCAGGCACCAAAGCAAGGTCCGAGGCACGGAAGACGGAGGGGGCTCACCGAGAGTCGCTGGAGGGGAACGCGGCGTCCGGAAAGCTCCGAGGCTGGTCGTCGACGGCGGCCGTGAATCGGAGAGAGAAGAGGCGCGGGTGAGGGTGTGGCCGGGCAAAACAACGCCAAAACAAGAATCGGGGAGTACCTACAGCGGCTGGGAAGTCCGGCGGTGCCGGTGGCCTTGGCGTCGGCGTTCGCGCTCGGGAGGGGGTTTTCACCGGCGGCGGTGGCTCACGGTAGCGGGCAAGGATGGAGAAGGGCTGAGGGGAGGCTCGGCCTTTATAGGTGGCTAATGCGGCATGAAAGGAAGGGAAGCGGGCGGGTTCGGCACCTTCCAAGCGGGCGCCGGTGGCTTTCCATCGGTCTGCAGCGCCATTGACTGAAGGCAGAAGAAAGGAAGGGGCGCCGGGGGAGGAAGGTGGACGACGCGGCTGACGAGTGGGTCCAGACGCGCAGCGAGTGAACGGCGCGTGCGGCGTAGGCCGAGCAGTGCATGCAGCGAACAGGTCAAATCACGCAGCCAGGCGACCTGCAATGACAAAGGTGACCACCGAGTTGGTGCACGCTGCAGGGCAAGTCAGGCAGCGCAGCGGGGGTGCGAACCACGGTGCATCAACACAAGGACCCCGGGTGGGCAGCGCCAGTGAGGCGGTAGGGAAAGGGGAGGAGAAGAAGGCCGGAAAGTCATTTGGTCAAGGTTGGGCTGTAGGTGACTTTCTCTTTTTTTCAAATCAATGTTTATCCAATTCTATTTTCTCCATTTTCATTTTTAAGCCAAATTCAAATAAGTTTTGAATGCAAATTTCAAATCATCTAGCCCTACACTCAAACAAAACCCATGTGATTCGGCATGAATGCAACAAACACGTTTCTAAACTTATAGTTTATTTTATTTATTCAATATTTATTATTTGGCCTATGTTAGAAATACCTAGAAAATGTATAAATAGGGCAAGAATTTAATTGCTAATTTGCAGTAGAATTTTGGGTGTTACAATCATCCGAATCACTGCTAACTATATCACCGATCCTGTCCTCCTCCTCCTGCTCCTGCTCCTCCTCTTCCAGTTCGAACTCGTTCACATCGAAATCATTGCTTATACAACCTATTTGACTTGAATGAAACCGCTCCTGTGTCAAATGACCATCCAAATCCATGTTAGCCTGAGCTGCTTCCCCTTCGATCTCCAATTCTTGCTCATTGCATCCAACACCGTCAATGGACTGCCTATCCTGGACACCCTGCATCCTGTACCCATTCTAACTATAACTATACTAATTAATTTAATATTAACATATATACACGGCTAACTACGACAACTAATATATAACTAGACTCACTAGGGGCGTACCTCGCGGCGGGTGGACACGGGATAGAGAGAAGGGCGTGCGGCAGTTGGGAGCGGTGTACAGCGCGACAGTGAGGACGGCGACGGCAGTCGAGGGCACGGTAGTGAGGGCGGCGGGTGTCCGTGGCGTGGCGGGCAGCCGCCGTGCGTGGCCGTAGGCCGTGACGGGCGTCCGGAGGGGGTGGCGCGCCAGCGTGCGGGCGCGGCGGGCGACGGGCGTGGCGGGTGGCGCGGCGGGCGGGACTGGGCCGCGAGCCTTTTAGCCGGCTCTACTGCGCCACCGATCAGGGCGTGTCACTGCCGCGTCAAGATCGGTGGCGCGGTAGACCCTGCCACATCACCGGTCAGCGCCCCCGGCCTTCGCCACGTCATCCTCCCGCCGCGCCACCATTCATGACGCGGCACAGGCATTTCGCCACGCCATGGCAATAGGCGCGACCAAAAGTATTAGTTTTGAGAAGAAAAAAAATGTTAGATTTAAAATTAGTTTAAAAAAATATTAAAAAAAAAAATTATCACCCGGTTACCCGGATGGCCGGATACCACGCCCGGCACGCCGGGAACCTCGCGGCTCGCGCCCACTACGGCACAGTGTCAGTGTGCCGGCCATCCGTTGACCGGCGACACGGCTCAAGCACGCCGCACGCGGCTTGTTTGTGTCGGTCCTGACGCACGTGCTTGCCAGTACGCCGTACACATCGGCGCTATACGTAATACTCACACCATTGCGGACTATACAAGTTTTTCAGTTTTTCTATTAAAAAAACGAGAGAGTATATATGTGTAGTATGAAAGAACAAGGATCTGCTTGGTTTTATACGATGCGACGAGATCAGAATGGGAAGAAGAATCATTCTAGAGCGTGTTTGTTGGTTGGTTTTTGATTAATAAATCTAGCTAGTGCTAGTTCGTTGTGAAAAAAAAACTAGTTAATAAAAGACCTGACTCAAACTAACAAACGAACGAATTCGTTCGACCGAGCAACAGCAAAATCAAGTGACTCAAACTAACAAACGAACGAATTCGTTCGACCAGTAGTTCGTTCGACCGAGCAACAGCAAAATCAAGTGAAGATTCGTTTTCTCAACAGAACACAGATTTCTGTCCTAAATCATAGAGCTTTTCTGCACGGCATCGTTTTGATCTTCTGGTACGACACAGGCAGCTTCACACTTTACTAATAGTAACGAAAATTAGAGAACGGCATATAAAGTCAATGCCTGTTCCAATCACACGCCGGCATACGAGAGGCAGATGCAATTGCAATGCAATGCAAGGGCTGTATCCTAATAATAATGCTTGAGAAAGAGTCATCCGAATCTGCCATTTCCACGATTGGAGTGTACCATTTTTCATTTTCATGTTGAACTCAAAAATAACTATAGAAATTAATTTAATCAGAGATGAAGGAAATAATCACCTATAATGGTGAGGCATAGATATAGTCATCTAAAGTAGAAGATGAATATTGCCTTCAGTAGGATTAGCGGCGCTAAAAAATGTTCAATGGCTAAGTTAAATAGCGGTCCCCCCCGGAGCTAAAGTGTAATTAACTTCAATACTAGTAAAATTCTCATGACACACCGCCGAGACCGGAAGTAAACAAACAAAAGAACATCGTCGCCTCTCGCCTCTCGCCTCCACCCTTTCTCACAGTCGTAGCCATCGGCCCATACCACATTCTCATTTTTTCACACACAACTTTCTTCTCAGGCCTGGTTTAGATTGGGGTTAGGAATCAGTATTTAACACTGTAGCACTTTCGTTTATATTTGACAATTATTGTCCAATCATGGCCTAACTAGGCTTAAAAGATTCGTCTCGTAATTTACAATCAAATTATGTAATTAGTTATTTTTTTATCTACATTTAATATCCATGCATGTGTCCAAAGATTTGATGTGATGGAGAGAGAGTGAAAAAACTTACAATCTAAACAAGGCCTATGTTCTCAGGGCCTGTTTAGTTTCCCTCCAAAACGCCAAATTTTTTAAGATTCTCCGTTACATCGAATCTTTGGACGCATGCATGAAGCATTAAATATAAATAAAAAATAAAACTAATTACACAGTTTAGACGAAATCCACGAGACGAATCTTTTAAGCCTAATTAAACTATGATTGAACACTAATTGTTAAATAACAACGAAAATACTATATTATCATTTTGTCAAAATTTTCGGCAACTAAACTGGGGCAAAGAAAGAGCCTTCCTGAAACGAAAGGAATCCCACCCAGGCTCTAGCCTGTCTAGTAGCCTTCTCCCCCATCCCAACGGCAAGAATAGCAGAGGCTGCGCAAGGCAGAGGAAAGCAGAAGCAGAAGCAGAGCAGAGCAGCCCCAAAGCAGCACGCTCAAGCAAACCCTCTCTCTCCCAAATTCCAGACCCTACCGCCACACCCCATTACACTACCCTTTTCCCATTGCCCATTTACCCCAGCAACAGCAAGAGCAACCAAGCCGATCTAGAGCGCGCCCAAGTCTAGAACGGAGCAATGCGCAAGGCGCTCATCAACGCCGTCCTCTTCCCGGCTCTCGCCGTGGTCGTCGCTCTGGCCATCTTCTACTTCGTCCGCCGCCGCCGCCGCCGCCGGGGTCGCGGCCGCGGCCGCTCGGTACTGCCCTCCCACGGCGGCGGCGGCGCGAGGGCGGACCGGTTCCAGGCGGACGGCGCCTCGGGCGGCTACGCCGCCGGCGGGGAGGAGGCGCTGCTGCGGTTCCCGGGAGGCGAGGCGCTCACGGTGGCCGCGATCCTCGAGGCGCCCGGGGAGGTGGTGGCCAAGTCCTCGCACAGCACGCTGTACCGCGCCGGGCTCAGCGCCGGGGAGGCCGTCGCGCTGCTCCGGTTCGTGCGCCCGGCCTGCGCCGCGGCCGCCGAGGAGGCCGCGGCGGCCGCGCGGGTGCTCGGCGCCGCGCGCCACCCCAACCTCGTGCCGATCCGCGCGCTCTACATCGGCCCGCGCGGGGAGAAGCTGCTCGTGCACCCGTTCTACGCCGCCGGCTCGCTGCGCCGGTTCCTGCAAGGTCTGTGTCCCTTCACGTCATTTGCTTTAGACGCAAGCTAGTAGCTTGGAGTAAGGCTAATCATGCGAAATGATTTGTTCAAGTGTCGGTAAGGTTTCCTGGTTCAGGTTCCATTGCTTGGATTTACTGCAGAATTTGAAATTTACCTCAGATTTAGATGATTAGCTACTTTCGTCATCCCATGCCTGCGCGCTGCGGTAAAAGCGTCGCAGCAATGATGCTTCGCGGATTAAGCAGATTGCTGTGGTGGCCTGGTGGGTACTATGTTACAGCCTTGCAGGGTGGTTTTTGTTACTTTTAGCCATGTGTCTTCACTGTTACGCTTTATGCTCTTGTCCTTAACTACACAAAGGGACAGTTCATAAAGTGCTTAGTAAAATTTTCATAGTTGGTTGTTATCTGAGCAGCTTCTTCTTGTTGCGTAAGATCTTGGGTTTACATGTGGCAAGCTTCACTCCTTTTCAATAGTATAACGCTTTCAAGCTTTTAATTGTTGCCTTTACAATTTGGGCGATGCAAGTCCTCTATCAAATCAAGGCTTTGGGGGGCAAAGCCAATTTTTTCAGGACGGACATGGTGGTTGTTTTATTATCAGACAGAGAAATGCATCTTTAGCGGTTTCCATGACTTATTCTGGGCTTTATGTTGGTGGAATTGTGGCACTTCTGAACTGTTTGTGGTTTCCTGCACCTATCAGCTCTCGTTTTCAGGGAGTTGTTGGATCACATTCTTTGATTAGTCTCGTAGAGAAAGGCTTGCATAATATAATAGTTTTTATTGCTTGCATGCACAAAACAACTGGTGCAGATTGGTTGCAATGAACTTTGGGCCGTTTGCATTTCAGAATATCAACGACTTGAAAAGGACAGTTTTTAGTTATAAAGGAATTTCACCCATTACTAACAAGCTAGTCTCAGTCAGTCGTGAAATATCAATAATATTTTCCCCCTGTTTTTCCTTTTTGTTTGCAAGTTCTCATCTTTATCTGTTCTTCTGACCTGCAGAGGGAATCAATGATTCACAGAGATGGGAAATAATTTGCAAGCTGTCTATCGGCATTGTCAAAGGACTGGACCACCTTCACACAGCATCGCAGAAACCAATCATTCACGGCAATCTCAAAACAAATAACATTATGCTTGACGCTGATTTCCAGCCTAGGATATCAGACTTTGGCCTCGACCTTCTTCTGAACCCTGCTGCTGCGCAAGAGATGCTTGAGACATCTGCAATGCAGGGTTATAAGGCTCCAGAGCTGATCAAGATGAGGGATGCCACCAGGGAGAGTGATATCTACAGTCTGGGAGTGATTATGCTCGAGATGCTTGCTCAGAAGGAGGTCGCAAATGATAATAAGTCACCAAATGCGCGCGACATCCATTTGCCGGCCTCTTTCAAAGACCTGGTTCTCGAGAGGAAGATATCAGAAGCTTTCAGTTCCGAGCTTATCAAACAAAGCAAGAATTCTGGGAAGGAGGACAATCTAAATGCCTACTTCGAATTGGCAACGGCTTGCTGTAATCCATCACCATCGTTGAGACCAGATACGAAGAAACTACTAAAAAGACTTGAAGACATTGCAAGATAATAATAGATGCGTGCGGCGGTGAGGCTCCAAATCCTGTTTAGAAAGAGTGGTGTTATAGCAGCAGCCAGCAGGATAGCTTTGGCATCCCATGTATTGTTTGTTACTTCTTGCACACATCAGAGATTGTATCGGAGCATTTCGAGAGGAAAAAGATCGTAACGTAAGTTAGGAGCCACAAGCATGTATAGAAAAGTATACTTTCCACGTAGCTACATAGGAACTCATCCGAGAACAAAATGTGGGTGCTTTCGACGTGGAAATCTATAAAATTTCCTTAAATTGCATTTGTCTTTCTTGAAGGTTATGTTAATTGCCATTTGTCTTGCCTGAAGACGGTATGCGATTTCAGTTTCCAGCCAACTATGCTGATCTGTTGAGTGAAGTGGTGATGGAATTTTGTCCACAAGGCATGACCAAGAAACCGGCTGTGTACTCTACTACTATTGCAAGCTAGAGACAGCAATGATGCATAGTACTCGTACTGTACTGTACTGAAGAGGAGGATTGGTCAAAAGATGCCCATGCCTCTATGCCTAGGGTTTGTTGCTCTCTTGATCCCTTGTCATCAACAATCCTTCATCTTTCCACAAGAAACATGAGGCTAGTGACATCATATCAGCGTCTCTTTAGTGTTGGCCTCGAAACTTCATTGCTCTGTGGTCCTAGGCAAGTCGACATCACTAGCACGGCTATATGCAACGTCAATTGTAACCCTATCTTCCAAAATTGCCCGAGGAATCGATTTTTTTTACCTGGAAGCCCCTTTAAAACTATCAATTCCAAGAACACTTAGGGCACGTTTAGTTCGCGAAAAAATTTGGGTTTGGCTACTGTAGCACTTTCGTTTGTATTCGACAATTAGTGTCTAATTATGGACTAATTATGTTCGAAAGTTTCGTCTCGCGATTTCTCATCCAACTGTGCAATTATTTTTTTCGTCTATATTTAATGCTCCATGCATGCGTCCAAAAATTCGATGTGACGAACAAAAACCAAAATTTTTTGGAACTAAACGCGCCGTTACACTGCTACTTTCGCAAGAAAGCTTGGTTAGTTTCAATTGTGCTCTCGATCTGTCAACTAGTGTCACTAGAGTGGGTGAACTTCAATATCAGGGCTGTAAGCCTGTAAGTAAAGGTTTTCACTTCCAGATCTCAAATTTTCACCCTCGGCATGCGGCCAAATCTGAGCTTCAAATTCAGTATGAAAAGGACCTGTCATTCTTTGTCACACTCGATCAGATCGAGACTCTCTTGCAGTCTTGCTACAACCATGTGACCTAATACCCTGTGACGGTCAGCATTCAGAAACCAATCCCATCTGTCATACTCATACTCATACAAACAATCCCGGCAAGCGGCAATCTCATCGAGCAAAGAAAATCCACGCCGGGCAGCTTCAATAATTGGCTTTTATGTTAGCTCTAAGCATTTTTCTCATATTTTAATAGAAGAGAGAGAAAAGCTAGCTCTTATCAAGAGCTAAGCTCATGCACATATTTCAGAGTTGTGTGAGAATGTCACGTGGAGCTATTCATATTAAAAGCTATGTGCTAAAAGTTAGCACTATTAGAGAAGTTAGCTTAGAGCTAAGCATTGCGGGTGCCCTTCAGTATATCACGGTCATTGGTTTACACCCAAGAAAGGTCAAGGAGTTCAGAAGCATTATCTGCTCCATGTGCTGTTGTTCCTGGCACGTGATTAGTAGATGGTACCCTGGCGCGGAGGGTGCGGTGCGGATCACCCAAAAGTCACCGAGCACAGCCAGCCAATCTTAACAACCTAATTATAACGCACACCAGATTAAAACAGAGATGTGAATCACTTGGTATACATTTGATTTTTGTCGATACAGGAAAAGCAAGCGGGGCCAATAAAACTTCCTTCATCCAAAAAAAAAGACAAGCAAGCAACTCAAATGCCCACGAAAAGTTCAAATTATGATTATTGGCCCAAATTTGTATAGATTCAAATTTATTTTACATACATCTTTTAAGTGTAACCTGCATAAATTACAAGGTAAATACGTCCGATGTGATATACAGATAATGAGCATTGTGTCTGGTGTTCTACAGTTCATCAGCCAAAGGGTACCATCGCGAGGAGCTGAGGCCTCACAGGTACTGCCCGAGGCTCTCGCCGCTGAGGGTTTCCATCCCTTTCAAGATCTCCTGCGACAGTGTCGTGACAGGAAGCTCCACATCCTCAAGCAATTCGCCTAGGAATGGAATGGTCTCTGGTAGGAGAACGACGTACTCCTCCTTCAGATGTTGGACCATGTACCTGATAACCTTCAGACCCAGCATTTTGGGGCGAACTTTATCACTCCTAGTCTGCATCAGCACCTGCAATTTTACGAGGAAGTGGTAAGACGGAGGGAGTGAGCAATAAATCCTGTACACTGTTGTTCATAGTCTTTAGTCTTTACGATTCTTTATATTAGGTAACCTAAATCCTGTGAGTTACGAAATTAGTTTAGTTAGGCAAACAATCTTAAAACCTTAAGAGATCCCCACCTCATGGCTTAGAGGCTTCCAAAGAACATCTGATCGTGCAGTGACTGCCACTTGGCCCAAGCACAAAATAATATTTTCATCTACTTCTTCAATTGATGGAGCATCCATAACTGATTCAATAGATTCTGGTGGTTCCACAACAAATTGGGAGACAATAGGCTTCAAAAGAACCTGCAAACACCAAATATATTAAAATACAAAGATATCACTGGGAAAAACTGCACGGGTTGAAGGTGGATGGTACTAATATCATAGGAACAAAGAATTATTACAGAACATGACGCCGATTTGAGTTGGTGCCGTCTCCAAAGGCACAAATTGACTGCTAATTCCTCTTACAGATCAACAAAAGTTTAATCATTACAGAGTATTTGTAAATACAAATATAATGCAAGTAGTTTTGTACCACATTTTTTATATTATTAGACTAATTGTTGGTCAAAGATTATGAAGTTTGTATTTTGAAATATGTGTGCGCCTTATATTTTGAGATAGCAGGAGTACAACAAAACATGAAAGGTCACTGCCATGCACTTTTTTTTTCTGTGCCTTACAAAAAGCACACGCCAGATACAAAAAGGAAACACTTGTAGTACAAAGAACCAACCAACCTGGAAATTAGAGGAATCGAGAATCTTCTGGTCATTATCATAAAGGAAACATTTGTATAAGGCTTTCAAAACTAGAGCTCTTAAATTCCACAGTTTTAAGTTTTTAACCTCCAAAATTTATCCTTCTGTTCAACTTGAACATCTTCAATTTTGGCCTTCTTCTTCTTTTGTTCCCAACCAGCTAAAGCATCGTCTTTAGACAGATACTGGATAGATCCCTCCAGTAGATACTTGAAGTAAGGTGTGAACAAGGACCTTCACAGACAAATTAAATATGGCCCCGTTCGGCTTACCTTATAATCCGCACTATTCAGCTTGTTTTTCAGCCGGAACAGTGTTTTTCTCTCACAGCAATTCAGCCAGAACAGTGTTTTCAGCCAATTCAACCAAGTTTCAGCAAGCCAAAGGGGCCAGTCAAGAGAGAAAATATATGACAGCAGGTAGTTGAAAAAAGCATGCTTTAGTTGGGGTCGTTAAGAATGATGAGCGTAATACACCAGACCAATAGCGTGGATTACTAACAGTTAAAAGAAAGGTGAAATCAAGCTCTGAACATAACTTAGGATACAGTATTCAATGCAGTTATGAAGGTACCTGTGTTGTTCAGCAAGTTTGTAAACCAATTTGTAGAAAACAATTGCACGGTCCAAACTTTTCTTTGATGAGGACTGATCAACTTCGGACTCGGCCCATTCCGAAGTACAAAGAAAAAGTGGCCTACTAAAGTGCCCTCTGTAAGCTTCATGGTGAGAGTGATTATGGCATAAATAATACTTCGCTCCACCATATTTATATTATTCTTCAAAAAGTCAGGATGTTGGCGACGGAGATCAAGAGCTGCTAAACAATGCTCATATATTTTCGGATGGTAAGTTTCTACAGCCAGCCGGTCCATTGTACCAACTAGGCTAGCAAGCATATCGAATGCCAAACGAAAGGCTACCATCTCCACATTTTGCAGCAAGGGAGTACATATTCAGTAAAGGTGGGAGGATAAGCGACCTGCAGCCAATAACTTGATGAGATCCAAGGAAAAACAGGCACGTTCATATTTCATCATATGACCAAGAAAAAAAATTGAACAAATTTAGATGACATAATGGAACTTTAATGGTCAGTAGCTCTCGAACATGTGCTGCTTTTGCATCTAATTTAGCGTGCATTTGAGCGCTACATTCAGGATGCAATACTACCAGATCAAGTATTTCCTTCAAATATGGATTAACAAATTCACCCAGCTATTCCACAACCACCCCAATTGTTGTAAGTGCAGATAGCAGCACGGCTATGTCTTGGTTAGAAAGTCCAGGAGCAGTTCTAGTGGAACCATAAGCATAATTTCCACTAGGGCAACATGAAATCTGATGTGATATTAGCATTATATTGAGTTGTGGTAATGCTTCTGATCCAATCACATTTATCAGAGAGCCCACAGTATGAATTAATACAGAAGACACAGCTGCCTCATCAGAGCCAACGTGATCAATGATTGTTGCAACGCAGTTGCTATAAACAAGATTATCAGAGTGATACTCTTTTGATATTGTTTCAAGCAAAGAAATAGCAGAAATTTTCACTGAAGTTTCCGAATCAACTTCTCTGTCAATGAACTCCAGAATATTTAAGCACAATTTGCTGAAATAAGGACCAGAGCTCTTGTCTACTTTAATTGCAGTAGTACCAGAGTTATGCTTCAGTTTTCGTGCTTTCCTTTGCTTCTGGACCAAACTGTTTCATCTGGCAGTTTCAGACATCATCCCAAGTGTCTGTAGAGAAGTATAAATCAATTGCAATCACATTGAAAAAAAGGAGCTTCCAAGGAAATCAATTAGTAACAATTTCAACAAAACCAATAGAACAAAAATCTGCTAACCAACAAGTACCTTTCTTTTCACATGACTATCTGAATGATCTAACAGTTGAGTAATTCCTCTAAAAAATGTTGAAGCAGTCATCCATCCAGTAATAATTTTGAGTATTGCATTTGCAAAATCTCTGACTTCCTTAATAATGTCACCAGGAATGTCCCCTTTTTTTTATCTCTGGTATACACACCACACAAGACAACTTCCTCCATAAGTGCCCCAAGAGAACCCTACGAGAGGCAAATAAAGACGACAGCACATAAAAATAAAGACTAAACAATTTCTGGAGTTCACTATTAACTTGCCAGTAAACGAATAAGATGATACACCCCATGTTCCAAATTGTAAGTTGTTTTGGCTTTTCTAGGTACATAGCTTTTGTTACATATCTAGACATAGTGTTGTTAGGAAACAAGGATCAACTAGGCGTAGATCAGTGGATGATTTCTCTTACATTCGGAATAAACAAGTAGATCATCCTAGAGAGAGAACTAAAAGGAGAGAGAGGGATGTAGAGAGGCAAACCATCGGGCTTGGTGGAGGAGGTGTCCATGGCGACGGTGTCCGATGACGGCGGCGTCCCGGCGGTAAAGTCCAGTGACGACGGTCCAGTGGTGGCGGTGTCCCGACGGCGGCGAAGGCGGTGGCGCTTCCCGTCGCTGTTAGCACACCCTCTAGATGGAATTAGGGTTTGTCGATGGGGTTCTTTGGGCAGCGGTGAACCTCATACCACGAGCCCCGCCCCCACCTCCTTTATATGGCTGCGGACGACGAGGCCCACCAACCATGATTTGGTTGGGCGCCCCCGATCAGGGCGCGGATCAGAGCCCAACTCGATCGTTGGGCCGACTCGGAGGAGATCAACACTAACAATGTCCCCCTTGATCTCACCTTATGACTTAAACTTAGATCACTTTATCTTTTTCCATTCCATCACAGATTAGTATATAGAGCATGCCTCATCATAATGGCTAGTACCATTAGATTAACAACTACAATACACCTTTCTATTTTGAAACAGTAGGCCCTTATTGTCAAGGGATCATATGCTTTCCCGTAAACCCATGTCGGCTAAGTGTTCTTTGAACACATTGGGCGGTAAGCCTTTTATAAGCGGACCCGCAAGCATTTTCTTTGTACTTACATGCTCAAGACTAATAGAATGATCCCGGACTTTGTCTTTCACAATATAAAACTTTATGTCAATGTATTTGGCAGCACCACTTGACTTATTGTTGTGAGTATAACACACTGTTGTCTCATTGTCGCAATACAATTTGAGTGGCCTATGAATGTCGTCGACCACTTTCAACTCAGGCATAAATTTTTTTAGCCAGTTCACCTGGCATACATCGTGAACGATATAGTGACGGTTTGCTTGGAGTTTTTCCACGATATAGCTCCTCCTGCGAGAGTAAATACATAGCCTGATGCGGATTTTCTATCATCTACATCTCCCACAAAATCTGAATTTGAATACCCCTCTATACGTAGGGAATCAGACCTTCTGTACGTTAGCATGAGGCTTTTTGTGCCTTGCACATAACGCAAAGCTTTCTTTACCATTCTTTAATGTTCTATTCCTGGATTACTCTGATATCTGCCAAGTATCCCGGTAACAAAAGCTAAGTCAGGACATGTACATACTTGAGCATACTGTAAGCTTTCGATAGCTGAAGTATATGAAACCGCTTTCATTTGATCGATCTCATATTGGTTTCTGGGATATTGGAATTCCCCAAAACTATTGCCCTTGACTATGGGAGCAGGTGAAGGCTTACATGCATGCATACTGTATTTCTTTAGAACCTTTTCTAAGCATGCCTTTTGCGATAATCCTAAAACCCCTTTCTTCTATCTCGGTGAATCTCTATTTCTAAAATGAATGAAGCTTCACCGAGATCTTTCATATCAAAATTTGAGGACAAGAACTTTTTCGTCTCTAGTAGTAGATTAACATCACTACTAGCAAGTAAGATGTCATCCATATACAGGATTAGAAAAATGAATTTCCCACTCTTGAACTTTGTATAAATGCAATTGTCCTCTACATTCTCTTTAAACCCAAACTTTCTTATTGTTTCATCAAACTTTAAATACCACTATCTAGAGGCTTGTTTTAATCCGTAAATGGATTTCTTCAGGCGGCATCCCATACGATCTTTTCCTTTCACGACAAAACCTTTTGGTTGTGCCATATAAACATTTTCATCCAAATCCCCATTAAGGAAAGCCGTCTTTACATGCATCTGATGTAATTCTAAATCATAATGTGCCACTAACGCCATTATGATTCTAAAATAATCCTTGCATGAGATTGGAGAAAATATCTCATTGTAATCTATTCCTTCTCTTTGCTTGAAGTCTTTTGCCACAAGTCGCGCTTTAAACCTTTCCACATTCCCTTTGTAGTCATATTTAGTTTTATAGACCCATTTACAACCTACTATCTTGCCTCCTTTAGGAATTTTCTCTAAGTCCCAAACATCGTTGGTGCTCATTGATCTCATTTTATTTTCCATGGTTTCAAGCCACTTCGACGAGTGAGCGCTTCTCATAGCTTCTTCAAATGAGGTGGGATCATCCTCCATTTGAAATTCTTCACTAACATGTTCTTCACTAACATAGATTTCGTAGTCATCAGGAATAGCTAATTTTCTGGCTTTTTGAGACCTTCTAGGGGCCTCATTAGTTGGCGCTTGTTCTATATGAGGCTGTTGTTGCTCTCCCTCATGTGTGACAATGGACTCTATAGGATCCTGAAGGATAGGTTTCTCATATTCATTTATTGTTGTCATGGGAGAACTAATAACATGTGTTGTCATTATAGTGTCCTACACTATTAGTGCAGCAGCAATAGGTAGTGAGAAAAATGGCTCCTGAACCATTGGAGTGGGCACATATACCCACTTCTCCTCAAAGTTAATTTCTCGCGCTACCATGCCCTCCTGACCATCTCATCCTCAAGAACACAGCGTGTCTTGTTTCTGCAAACTTTGTATATCTGTCAGGACAATAGAAACGATAACCTTTTGATTTATCTAGATAGCCAATGAAATGGCAACTGACTATCTTGGAGTCTACCTTCCCAATATTTGGGTTAAATACTTTAGCCTCAGCTGGACAGCCTCACACACATAAATGGTTAAGTGAAGGTTTCCCTTCCGTCCACAACTCATATAGTGTATTGGGCATCAATTTACTTGGTACTTGATTGAGAACATGAATGACGGTTTTTAACGCCTCCATCCACAAACTTATCGGTAAAGTGAAGTAACTTATCATACTTCTCACCATATCCATCAATGTACGATTGCATCTTTTAGCTACTCCATTCTACTGAGACTCGCCTGGTGTAGAGTACTAGGCAACTATGTCATTTTCCTATAAGAACTTTGCAAAAGATCCAGGAACTTGGCCATATGGGGTATGTCGACCGTAGTACTCCCAACCACGGTCGGATCTTACTATCTCAATCTTTAAATTATGTTAATTTTCTACTTCAGCCTTAAATATCTTAAATTTATCCCATGCTTCAGATCTTTCTTTAATTAGATAAATATAGCCATAATGAGAATAATCATTTATAAATGTTATAAATTAATCATAACCATCCGCACTTTTCACAGAAAACGGACCACATATATCTATGTGAATTATTTCTAAAATTCCTGCGTTTCGTTTGGTGTCTTTATTTATTTATTTATTTTTTAACATACTTTCTTTTATGCAATCAATGCATTGTTCTAAATCTAAAAATTATAATGATGGAAGAATTGATTTCTTAATTAGTTGTTCTATCATCCCCCTTGAAATATGGCCTAAACGACAATGCCATAATTTTGATGATATAACATGAATTCTCTTCCGCTTATTACTT